AGGGTTGAGGGCTTGGGGCTCAGGGTGGGGGCAGGCTTAGGTTTTAGGGGTTGCGGCTTGCAGTTTAGGGCGTAGGGTTTCGGGTTGAAGGATTGCCCCTGCTTTTACAGAGCACTCCTTGTTTTTGCAAGTAAGCTTGGAATTCGGGGTTTCAGGCTTAGGGTTTACTGCGGGTGCATTCAGCTTTTCGCAGCCCTCTAATGCACTTCTTTCAGGAGGGAGCCGCGCTACTTGAAGGACCATCGTAATCGAAGGAGCTGCCGAGGAGTGAAGCGTGATGATGCTGTATAGGTGTGTATCGCACTAGGATAGGACCTGCGGTGTTTGGTCGGTTTAGGTTTCAAAGTTGCAGCTAAATGCCCAAGTTTACACTTAACTGTTAAGAAGGCTTCAGCTCCACACCCTAGACCGTGAATCCAAGACCCATAAAGCTTAGCCCTAACAAGCCGGAAGCTCTGAAAGCCTAAACCCGTAGAGCCTACATCCCGGTACCATCTAAACCCTGTACCAGGTGGGGCCTCGACAACGAGGGAACTCCTTCACGCACCAAGCTTGGCAGTCTTCCAGGCTCAACGATTGCACCACCTGGGTAGGCTCCTTCTGAACCCCTAAGCTTACGGTTTAGGGCTTCAAGTTTTCCGTCAGGGGGGGGGGGGTCCGTACTGTGATTCAAAGCCCTAAACCCTCAACTGCAACTTTGACCCCTCAAGCTCGATGTTCTTGTAATTTCCCACTCAGGAGTGGCAGGATTCGTAGGACCCCCATCCGCAGCTCATTTGGCTAGAGGCTCTACTAGTCAGAAATCAACTTGTTCATCAGTTCATCCAACAGGGGCTTTGCAGGAACACACCCGATTGCTATCTTCAGTGATAAGCCGAAAAGTTGTACACCCCGACCTCAAACCAACACCCTTACCACTCCACAACCGTAAGCACCAAAACCCACCCCCCCCATACCCTAAGCCGTAACCCTCAATCCCAAACCCTGAAACCTAAACCCTAAACTCGGAGCCCTAATCCTCCCGAGCTGCCGTGTAGTGCACTGGGTTGCTGTCAGTGTCGCTGTCCCCGCGACAGGCCGAACTGCCTTGAGCAGGCTTCTGTTTGTGGGCCAATAATAGGGTTCCGGGTCTAGGGTGCTTGTAGAGCGCTTATAGTAAACCCTGGAAGGAACCCTTATAGTACTTTAGGGTATAGTACTTTAGGGTTTGAGGGTTTTACGGCACCCCAAACCCCCCGAACCCGGAGTCTTTCTGTTGAAAGACCTTCATGGAAACGAAGGTGCCCTAAAGGATTTGCCACTTCCTCTTTCGGAACACCTCCAAACCGACAACCGTAAACCCCAAAGCCGTTCGAAAGACACAGAAAAAAGCCCTCCAAAACCCTACAACACGCCCTCAAACCCTAAACCCTAAAGCGAAATCCTAAAGCTCATTCCTAAACCCTACACCCCAACTCGCAAACCCCTCAACTCGAAAACCGAACTCCGACCTGGAGGGCCCACAGCTTCCCAAGCCCGATCTCCGACGACGTCCTCACGACTTCAGGTGTGGGGCCTACAGGGTTAATGTAGGGGCCTTAATAATTAGAATAGGGTTCTGGGGTATTTTATACTATAGTTAACAGTATAGTAGTACACGTAAGTTTTTGTCGGCCCCTATGTTAGGGTTCTAGCGGATTGATGCCAGCAGAGGCTTCAGGATTTCGGCTTGCCGGCTGTAGGGCTCAGGGTCCAAGCGATTCAGGGTTCTTGGCTATAGGAGTTAGGGTTCAAGGTCCACAAGATATAGTATAGCCCTAAACCCTAAACCCTAAACCCTAAACCCTAAACTATTTTGGGCTGTAGGAGACATGGAGGCTTCGGGGCTTTCGGCTTCAGGAGAGTAGTACAGGGCTCTTCGGGGTTTAGGGCTTAGGGCTCTTCGGGTCGCGTCTGAGGATGTGTGGCCCCAATCTCGTTTGCCTCCAAATTGGTCTGCCAGGCCATCGTGGGTTACATGAGCTGCAAGGTTTTCGGACCCTGAACCCTGGATTCCTAAACCCAGCACCCCGGCGTTTCGGGTACTTACGGGGCCCACTGTGGTCCTGCACACTCATGCTGTCTTCATAGCTGAAGCAGAAATACCTTGGCTTTGGGTTCAGGCCTCAGGGTTCAGGGTTTAGGACTTCGGGTGTATTCGGGGTTTGAGGTTTGCATTTAATAGATAGAACCCGAAACCCCAAACGCTCATAATATGCAAGGCCACAAGCTTAAAGTTCTCCCATTGGCTCTCTAAGGAAGCAACCAAGGTACTCTGGGTGTATAGGGGAGTACGGTCTCCGCGACACGTCGTTGATCCTGTTCATTAGGGTTTTGAGATTCGGGTTTAGGCTTTAGGGTTTATGCTTTAGGGTGTAGAGTTGAGGGTGTAGACGTCATTGATCCTGCGATTCCAGATCTCACATCGGCCGTTTGTGAACTCGAAGCCACGGCAGACGGGAGCTGCGACGCACCTGTGGGCAGGATCTCTGTATGTTCTGCGGATCCTTCTTGAAATACGTGGGGTTGCTGAACACTTGAGGGGTCCGGATCCTTCTAAAGGGGCTCCTGCTTACTTGGTGTCTATACTGCGGTCCGCCGTTTTCTGATATATCACCATCTCGAAGGATCTCACTGATGGATCTCTGTTGGGATTCCTTCCGAATGTAATCTTGGGCTCACTCCGGCTACAAGTGCGATTTAGGGTCTAAGCGGCTTGAGTTGCCTCATTATCGGTTAGGGAAGCTAGGTTTGGAAGATCCACACCTCGCGCGACAATCCTGAATGAGTGCTGTGGATGCCACCGTATAGTAGCTTGGATCAGTGTCAGCCGGATCGTTTCCACGACATGCATATGACAGGTAGCGGTTACTGCTGTACTCCTTCTGCAGGTGGAAGCCTCCGGCCCATCCATAGCGCATGCAGGTGAAGCCGCTGAGATTCTTTGTCATGAAAATCCCCTCCGGTCGCGTCCAGAGTTCGCAACGGCCAGTGCTGTACTCTATGCCTTTGCAACTCGGGAATTGCTCCCAGCATCGTGTTTTGCACTCTTCGATGTCTTTTGCCGTCACCACCTGGAAAGAGCGAAGGGACTAAGCGAAGGAGACATGGTTAAGTTCGTTTAAGCTAGACCTCAGTGTGCCCCCTAGAAAAGACGGAACCCGAAACCCCTGTGTAAAAAATACCCCAAACCCAAAATTCCTGAGAATTGCCGCTCCAGGATCTTCGTAGTGGCTCGGGGAGTTGTCGTCCAGGCTGCTCCCGCGACAGGCACTGCTGTTTGCAGCTCCCACCAACTCCCACCGTCTATCTCCTCGAGGATCTGGCGTTGTGGTGGTGGGTGGGGCACAAGACTCCGCGACACCGACGCTCCAGTAAGAAGGAAAGTATGTGGTGGTGGTGGTGCTCGCGGTGACTGTTCCACTTGGCACGCAAGTATGACATTCATGGCCCCACAACCTGATGCGAGCCCGCAAAAATGTGGGGCTTAGGGTCTGGATGGGTTTGGTGCTGAAGGCTTAGAATTGAGAAATTGTGGGTACCGGGCTTTGGGTTTAGGGTTTGGGGCCTGATCCCCGGCCCAAGCCCCTTCACAACAAGCAAGCTTCATCTGGGTTGTAGTTTTGGGGCCCTGCAAAATATTCATGAATAGGTACCTCTATAGGAGCCATAAGGGGCATTCGAAAAGTTTCCCAAAGTGCCACCTAGTCATTGCATATTAGCTTAGCGACCACAGTCCCATGTCGTCTTGCGGACAGTCATGTTCCCAGCCACTCGTAACGTGGTGCTCCACACGGGTAGCATAGCCTTCTGCCTCATTGCAACCGTAGCATAGCAGCAACGGCGCTGAAAGCTCATAGCCAGCAGGACAGTTGAGGTTGGCCACAACAAAAGGGGCGCAATCGGAAGAGCAGTCACTGGCATTGGGCATCACGGGAGGAGGCGGAGGGGGGTCAGATGAGACACATTCGCAACACTCCCGCCGTCGCGTGACATCATCCTTGACGCCACATCCTCTTATTTCCGTAGTCGCTGCAAACTCCGCAGCTTTGAAATGGCTTCCAAAGTCTGTGCAACGGCTTTTGTCGGAGTCACAGCAAATATCCTGGCATTCGAGGGAGCCGTGAAGGCAGGTCAATGCCCAACCCTGCGACGTATCCCTTCTGCCACCAGACCATCCCGTTACGCGCACGGGTGCACTTACAAACCTCGCTGCGGAGAACACCACAAGGTTGGATAGGAGCACCAGCAAAGAGCTCGGCGGACACATGGCTTCGAACGAGGACAGCCTTCTAATCAACTGTGAACCGAAACCTCATCGTGGGACTTCAGCATCTGGCACATTGCCGTATGGGGTGCCATATACCAGCCACGAAGACATGGAATCTTGGCCTCAACAAAGGCCATCTGTTGTACCTATGTCATTACGTGCGTATGTCTATATACCTGTGTGTATATGTATGTATGCATGTATGCATGTATATATATATATATATATGAGCATATAGATAGACAGATAGATTGATAGATGGGTAGATAGACAAATAGAGACACGTGCATGTCAACTCAACCGGCGCTTGAGTGCCGCTAACACACTATGCCAGCTTCCCAGCTCTAGACGGAAATTGCACGGGAACATACAGTATACTAGAGCTGCCAAAGTTACTTTGCTGCCACGACTACCCATGTTCCTGACACGTTTGTATGCAACTGAATGATGTTGCTGAACAGACGGTTGACCATGACGATCACACTGGCCACGATGATTGGTAACATTGGAGTTCTTCCTTGTTCGACTGCATAGGTTTTGGGGACTATTTCGTAATGTCAGCGTTCCATAGCGGTACTGCCAACTAAACGCTTTTGGATGCAAACCTCAGCTGCTGTTCAGGAGGCTCAACATGTCAGTATTGAAAGCACTGAAGTCGCAAACGGCGACAGTCAGCAGCTGCTGTTCAGCTTCTGCATAGGTGCGCTTGGGATCGTCGTCAACCAACCATAGCATCCTCAGCTGCCAGACAAGTCTTTCCTTGTCTTGGTCGGTGATGTGAGGGTCCATCAGCAGCTTGACCGTTAGGGACACCCACTTCTGACACTGAGGCTTGCTCAGCGAGCGTAATATCTTCTCAAGTACCCACGTGCAAGAATATACCTGTTTCAAGCTGGCGCGTATGTTGCGCGTGATCAAGTCTTCTATACGTGCGAGCGTACCCGCTGCAGTTATTTGTGCCAAGAAAGGGAGAGGGCATCACTCGCGTGATTGTGCGCAATGCAGTGGGCGGCAGCAGCAATGGAGGAATCTGCACTCCAGCAGTGCCGCAGCACACTTTGCAGGTTCTTGCCGACCGTGCGGCGAACGTAGCTTTCGATGAAGTGCGTAAAGGTCTTGGACGCCAGGGCCAGGCACCATAATCGACACTCACACAGCTTCTGCTGCTCGGCATCGCCTTCAAAGGCCGATTCATTTGACACATTCGGGTTGACACCGAATAGCTCTAACTGTTCTGCAAAAGCGAGAATTGCATCCGGCGTGTCCATGCTGCCCATCTCGGCCAGGTGCGCTGTCAAGGCCTCCGGGCTTCTCGTTCGTCGCGAAACCAGGCGCCAGCTCAGCAAGTCCTGCACACCCAGGTACGGCAATAGGTTTGCCACATGGAGGTCGGAGGGGGTGCATTCCCCAGCGCCGACGAGGTCACCGTCTTTGAGCTCCGTCGGCGATCGTCGGCCCTCGATGCCAAGGGGCTGAGCGGCATCCTTGGGCTCGGCCAAGGCCTGCCCATCACCACGCGGCCGCTGTGCTCCTTCGTCTTGGGCATCCGACGCGGATGCGGGCGACTCATCGCCTCTGTCGCCCTGTGGGTCGCTGTCGAAACCTTCGCTGATCCGAATTTCCTCTGGCGGCTCCTTGAACAGACCTTCCTGGCACTCTGCAGCGACACTCTCAGGCACCTCGCAGCTATCACTGCGCGGGGGGCAAATCGACAGGTCTGGGCCTAGCCACATCCCAGCAGGAGTTGAAGGTGCCACGGTGTCCTCTGACACGGGAGAGCCGGCGCCCTCCGTTGCCACGGTCTCCTCCGACGCGTCAAAGACGACGAGAATCCATCGGGTCTTTCTTCGCTGTCGCTGCCAGGGCTCCTAGTGTCGGTGCTTGTGTCCGAGGAATCTTTGTGGCTCAGGGGCTCCTCGGCAGCACATGGTGGTGCCGGCATCTTCGCTTTGCAGCACTCAGGCTCCATCAGCTTCGAGATCAGAGCTTCTGGTCCTCAAGCCGCTGCTGTTGCAGACCGAGGATCAGGTTCTGTTGAAGACAACGCCGTTGATTGGTCTGTGCCAACTGGGTGCAGACTGCGTTCAGCTGGTGCCAGAGCAGGGCGACTTGGACGTCCTGCTGCAGGTACCACACGGGGCCCTGGCTGGGCCATGCTTGTCTGTCAACCATGGCTCGGCTACAGGAGCAGATTTCTCGATGTCTTGGGCCTGTCAACTAACCCCAATCTAGGAGTTCGGCATTTGTTGGTTTGAGGGGGAGTCTTTACTCATTCTAGATCGGACCAGAGTAGACTAAACCGAAGGTTCCAGCGTCAACCGCGGTGGCTGGGCTGGGCATCCCCGCAACCGCGAAAGGTGCTCTGGATCTTGAGAGCCGCATTCTCCACCGCCTGCCATGCAGATCGGCTTAGGATTAAACCCCAAACACGAAAAATCCCTTAAGCGAATCAAAATCCAAAGGCCGTACTACTACAGTAAGCCCTGAACCCGTGCTTGCTTCAGAACCTGCAGCTGACTTTGGGTTTTATAGGGTTTGTGGTGTTTCGGGGGTTCCATAGGGCTGTGTAGGGATTTAAGGTGGAGGCGTGTACCGTTAAAATACAGGTTCTGCTAAATTTTTCTGCAAGGACCACAAGAGTGTGTTCTTATTCTTTTCTCATCCCCATACCAAGGCCCGGAGAGACTAACATCTCCAAGGAATCCAAACAAACGACTGGGTTCATCTTGTGCACGAGTTCTGCGCTTTACAGTAACATGTGCCACATACGGAGTGCTCCAATCTTAGCCTAGACACTGAACTCTAAACCCAAGCCGACCGCAAAAGTGTAAGTCTCCGGTGTCCTTGACACACCTCACTGGACCTCCGATGTCAACAAGAACATGTGGAATATCCGGTGATTTTGGAAGCAAGGTTTTTCTATTTTTGAAAATGAGGCTTTAGGGTCTGCTGGAGGATCAGGGGACTTAGAAAGCAGGGCTATAAGCAGGGACAAGTGCGCCAAGACCATCCCCTCAGCGCGGACAAGGCTGACTTTCGTGCCAGGCAATTTCATGGCCATGTAGCAAGAGCAAGTAGGCTTCAAGAAATTGTTTGTATGTATGTATGTATGTATGTATGTATGTATGTATGTATGTATGTATATTCTTATATAATAATCACTACTATATTATATTATACTGTTTTACATTGTGCTATATTATATTATGTTATATTATATCATATTGCAGCATATCATAGAGAATGTTATACCATATCATATGACGAAGTACTTGTGTACAGTAAATTGATTAGACTAGATGATTTTGGGGGTATAGTAGATTTTAGGTTTGAGATTATACTAGATTAGATCATATGAGGCTAGATTCGATTAGATTCGATTAGAAACTAAGTGCTGTATTAAATTCTGTGTTATATCTTTTTCAAGTTTGAATTATACCTGTATCACATATTCATTCTTACTAGGTCTTGGATCCCTGTATCATCCTTTTACCCCTGCTCCGTACAAACATGCAGTCTAGTAATTACATCACTCTTTTGCTGAGGAACCTACTCGGGCGAATTCCCCATACCCTAAACCCTAAACCCCAAACACAAAATCGCCTAAACGCCAAACCCTAAAAGCCAACCCCTAGGCCCCTAAGCCCTGAACCCGCAAAACCCTAAACCCTAACACCCCGCAGGCCCGGAGAATCTCGCTGCCCCGGGCTCCTCCTCGCGATCCGCGTGCACCCGAAGCTCGCTAAGCTCCCGCCGGCAGATCCAGGAGCCTCTGGCTTAGGGTTTGGGGATGCGGGTGCAGGGGTAAGGGGGGTTCAGGAGTTTAGGGTTAGATTCGGGCCTAGGTTCTTTGTTTTATAAGGGCCGGTTCCCGTCCGCATGGGTTGGAGATACGGACAATAAGCCCCGAATGCAGACCTCCGCCCTAACGCCAGAAACCCTGAGAGCGGCGGCTTAGGGTTTACAGTTTAGGAACCCTAATCCCCTAGATCCCAAACCCCACACACCGAGAATCTGCGTTCGGGGCTCTCGGATGATCTGCGGTGAAGCCACGGATCTGGCCACGAATGACGCGCGCGGCGCGATGGATGAGCCTTCGGCGCACCTTCGAGGTCAAGAAAGGAAGGCTTTCGGGGCCTTCGGGTTTACGGCTTTATAGGGTTTAGGGTTTGAAGATTTCGGGCTTTTTCGTTCAAACTTTGGGGGTGCATTACCAGAAGTCGCCACGATTCCTTTCAAGTGCGTTGTGCGCCGAACCCGTGCGCTGTAAGGTTCAGAGTATCGGGTTAAGGTATGGGTAGATCTCTGAATTAGGATCCCTTGTGGGATCTTTTTTATAGGGGTGCTGTATTATTTGGGTGACCTACAAAAAGGGACCCGAATTTAGAGAATTACCCATATAGGACTGAGCCTTTAAGACTTTAGAGCGTCAATGAAGTTGGTTTGGGATGGAGGTCTTATGGTTCAGGATTTTAAGTTTTGGGTTTAAGGCTTGTCATAGTATCGGGCTTAGGGGCTGCAGCTGTATGGAGTTCAGGTTCAAAGGCTGAAAGGGTCCAAGGAGTAGGGGTTCACGATTGGTCACGATACCAAGGATCTGGACCGCCGCCAAAAATCTGGGTTGCCGTTAAGGAACTTAGCTCAAGTCACAACAATAAGGAAACCCTACTGTTAACCATATAACCGCAGTAGGTTAACCTAGATTAAGTCCCTTGACAGCAACCCAGAAATCTCTTAGAAGGCTGTGACTGACCCATGGCGCCACACTGACTGGATTCTAAAAACTTACTTCGATCCCTGCGTGCTGGACATGCAACTTCATTGCATGGCAAAACCTACACCCCTGACCCCAAACACAAAACCCAAAAACCCTGAAACCCTAAAGGGTAAACCCGAGCTCAAGGCCGAGACAGAAGCACTAAACCCTCAAGCCCAAAGCCCAAACCCAAGCCTTCTCAACCCCAAGCCCGAAATTTGGTGTTCAGGGTTCGGGCTTAGGGGTTTAAGGCCGGTTCAGGGTTTAGGACACCACGGTTGCCTCGACCTCCACCTTGGCCATGTTCGCCCGCGCGATACGTTGAATGCGTATCTTGTCCAGGATTTGGGGTGCAGGATGTTAATGTAGAGGACTGAATATTGAGTAATGCATTCCCGTTGTCGTGCCTCGGGTTTATACTGTCATGTACCCCGGTATCCATTGATCTGAAAATGCAAGATCCTAGCAGGAGATTGCGAGGAATCAGTGTCCGAGATTCTAGGGCTTTAGGGTTAAGGGCATCGTGGAATAACTGGAAACAGGTCTTGCAAGGTGCTTGTACCGGGCTTGCCAAGGTTCCTGTAACATGTTGTACAGTTGTTCGAAAATTAGGCTTTTAGCTGTGTAGGTTTCACTGGCACGAGGCCCATAGAGGCCCATATCGAGATGCGGGCTTCTTTCCGCTGGGGGTCTCTTGCTTAATACTGTAAGGGGTTAGGCTGCATGCTGATAAACACCTAACTGCAGAATGAAGGAGCAAAACACGGGCCTCTCCTTGCAGAAAAAATTCCATGGTTCGGTTGAGCACCGAAGCATCATGAAAGCGCATTCGGATGCTGCCTCTCCTAGCCGACCATGGACGCGCTAAACCAGAGACCGTGCTATTTAGGGTTTAGGGCTTAGGGTTTTCGGTTATGCATGTCGGGTTTAAAGATTAGGGTAGTAGACGCGGAACCGCTTCTCCAAAAGAACCGTCGTGGATGTATCACGCTGCGGGTTTGGGGACAGAGGGTCTTCATGCACATAAACTCTGTTGAAAGCACACGGGTCTTGTTCAAAGAGTGGGCCACTCTCACGAGCCCACAAGGTCTTATAAGCCCTAAGCCCCATAATCCGACATACCGAAAGAGGAGGAGGGGTCTGAATTAATCACTCCAAACCCTTCCCCTCCCCCTACGCAGTTGCTCGAGCAACTTCTGTCCAGGCCCCCCGACGGCTGCATCGACGGCCTGGAAAAGTCGTGGTCTCTTCTGAAATTCAAGGTGTAGGGCGTGTATAACCGAAAAACACTAAACCTCAAACCCACGAGGCTTTTCAGGCTTTAGGCTTCAGGGCTTTAGGGTTCCAAAACATGACATGGAGGATCGGTGGACCTTGTAAGAAGGGCTACACGTCCTGTATTTGTGAGATAAATAATGATACCTACTACTACACATACTGCACATAGTCTGTGTTGACATGTGTATATATATATATATATGAAAAGAGAGAGACAGAGAGAGCGAGAGAGAAAGGAGGGAGAAAGGCGAGAGAAAGAGAGACAGAGAGAGATTGAGGCTTTTCACCGTAATTACTGAGTCCCATGACCCTCTAAGTAAACCTCATAGAACCTTTACAGAGCCCAAATGGACGGCCTAGGCAAACCCGAACTGAGCACTGAGAGCTCGGATGGGCTAGCGAAAGTGACGAAGCCTAAAGCCCCGAAACCCTAACTCCAAGATGGCTGAAACTTTAAAACCCGAACAGGTTCCGGAACTCGAAACTCTACCTTGGACTACAAGGTCTTATCTCGGGTGCAAGCTCTCGAGTGCTAAACCTCCAAACGCCGAGAGAATATTGTCTCATAGTCCCGATGTACTTCTACGTAATTTGCCCGAAAACCGTGTTCCTATCTCATAAAGACACAACACCCTTCTCAACACCCTTGCAAAAACCTTCCACACGACTACACCTGAACACCCCAAAACCCCGAAGACT